CCCCACCCCAGTCTCCTTCTCAGTGCTCTGAAGCCAGGCTGGCTGGCCTCTGTCCACTCCTCATACTGCTGATGAGTCAGTCGCCCAGGAGCTGAACACGCCCCGTCTGCTTCATCCCCACCACGTGGGGTGCTTCAAGGGCACCTCACAGGGCCCAGGCCTGGCTGGAAGTGATGTTTTCCAATGTGCCTGTCACACAATGGACCCTTAATGCTAGCTTCTTCCTTCCTTATGCACACACACCCTCTTTCCTTTACACAACTCCAATGGCACCCGCATAAATCTCACTCCAGCAGCTGCTGGGGACAGGCACGGTGGGAGGAGCAGGAAGCAAGAGAGCCAGGCTCTGAGCTAGAGACACCAAAGTGAGCCATACCACTCTCTCAGGAGCCTATCTGCACGTGAGGCAGGAAGCTGCATGCTGAGCTCCCATAAGCTCAGTAGAGATGGGGACATGTCTCCTACCAGAAGCAGTTCTGGAAGGGGGTGGTTGGGGAGTGGGGATGATTGCTCAGTCAGTAACGTGCAAACATAAAGACTTGAATTCAACCCCCAGAACCCACATTTAAAAGCCAGGCATGGAGGAGAATGCTTATAATCCCAATGCCAGTGAGGAGGGGACAGGTGGATCCTTGGGACATGGTGGCCAGCCAGCCTAGTACTCCAGCCAATGAGAGACTCTGTCTCAAAAACCATGGTGGATGGCTTCTGAGGAACAAGACCCAAAAGTTATCTCTGGCCTCCACATATGCAGGCTTACACAGGTGCACCTACATGTATACACACACACACACACACACACACACACACACACACACACACACACACACACACACACAATACTAGCAACAACAACAACAAAAATAATCAAAGCAGAAGGCTGGCCCCCTTGAAGCAAGAAGTTCACACAGACTTCTGGATCCTAAAAGAGAGGCAGGAAGGACAGAGATTCCTGGAGAATGGAGGCCACGCTCCCAGTGAGTTTTGTGAACTTCAGAACAAAAATGGGGGCTGGGAGGAGGAAGGGGGGCATTTCAGAATCCCAAAGCCACCAAATGTCTGCTCTGGTGGCTGGTTCAGGGCCAGCACATCAGCAGTTTTGGAGCTTGTTGGAGATACAGGCTCAAGCCCCACCCTAGCCTGCGAGGGAGAAGCTGCACATTGGCAGGGCCTGTGAGTTCACAGTGTGTTATCACAGTCAGAAGAGCTCCACTCTCAGGGATTGCTCCATCGTGGGAGAAAGGCTGAGAAAGGAGAATCCTCTGTCCTGTTTGCCACTGTGTTAGTGACAGCCCTGAGCCTGGATGCCCCATCCAGGGGTCCTTGAACTAGCATAGCCATATCCTGGCCTCCCCCATGCAGGAAGCCATCCTTCTTCATAGGGGGGGTGGAGGGAGTTGTTCACTACAGAAAAGGGTCTGGAGCCTGGTAGTGGTGCTCTTGCCAACTTGAGGATACAGTGTGTTCCTGGAGCCTCAGATCCCCCTGAGACGGGGTGAGGTAGGCAATACAGTCCGGAAGTGCAATAATGGTTTTCTCATCGATGCCTGGCGATAATCTAAAGGGTCCAGGTGCTATGATTTGCCCCTCAACCCAGCCCTCCTTTTTAATGGTGTGTCAGCTTCTGTCGGCTATCAGGGGCCCCAGCTCGACTGGCTGCTGGTGCCTGGAAGCCCACATTCCTGGGCTGTGATGGAGTGTATACTAGAGGCCCAGGCTGGGGATACCCCGAGGTGTGCTTGGCTGTGAGCCCTGAGGCCTGGCTGCCTGAGGAACATCAGAAAGCTAAGAGCTTTCTCTCTTCGTTGATGGGGCCAGGGGGTATGATTAGAGGCTAATGTGGCAGAGTTCGGCAGGACAGAGATCCAGCCAGACCTGGAGACAGGGCCTATCCCTGGTATTGGGGAAGAGAGGGTTGGGGTGAACTGAGGTTCAGTGGCTGACCGGGGGACAGTTGTTGAGCAGAAATACTAAAAATTCTTGAGCTAAAGTCAGACTTGGCTGGGTTTTAATACAAGCTTTGTCACTTTTTAGGTATGTGGTGTGGGGACAAGTCACTGCTGTGTCTGGTCTCAGTGCTCCACAGGAAACTGGTGGTGTAACCCTCCTGAGGCCATGATGACACGCATAGACCTCATAACAGCAATGGACTTAAAAGTACACCCAAATGAAGCCATTAAAACAGGACATTCTTTTGAAAAGGAAAAATGCATGCAAGCACACAGCCCATGCAACACTCCAAGAACCCCCTTCTCCCACCCACTTCTGCTCTTTGCCTGTTGGTTTCTCTCTCAACCCCCTGGAAAATTCCATTCCCAAACTATGCAACCCCTTGTCATCCTCTCCCCAATTCCCCTCTCCTGTGGTGCTTTATGCTGTGACTTTCCTCTAGCAATAAGGAAAGCAGAGAGAAAGTTGCAGAGAATCCTGTATGAGCAGCCATGTCTTACCCGGCTGCTACTGTTATTTAAAAGGCATATTGTTACGATTTTATGTTGTGTGTGTTTGTGTGTCTGTGTGAGAGAGAAAGGGCGGGGGGAGAGAAAGAGAGAGAAGAGAGAGGAGAGAGAAGAAAAAGGAGAGACAGGAGAGAGAGAGAGAGAGAGAGAGAGAGAGAGAGAGAGAGAGAGAGAGAATGAGAATGTGGAAGAGGGCACCAGATCCCCTGGAGCTAGAGTAACTAGTGAGCCATCGTGTGGGTGCTGGGAGCCAAACCCGGGCCCTCCGGAAGAAGAGTAAGTGCTCTTCACTACTGAGTCATCCCTCCACCCCCTAAAGGGCAAAATCTGACCCAACACAAGAGGTGTCCTGGCCTGGAACAGCTCTTTCCTCACGGTTCCATCCTTTCCCTATGGCGGGCATTGCAATGGCAAAGGCATCTTTCCCTTTGAGGATGGAGAACTGAATTGGAGAGTGGGCAGAGAGGAGCCTACCAGAGGGGGGCAGAAGGGGAAGGACCTGGCAAAAGAGGGTAGATGGGTTTCTAAGAACACAGGAAGGGGTTAGCTACTGCTCAGGATGTCGATGCAGAAAGCTGCCCTTCTAACAAGAAGAGCCAGTGCTACACCCTGAAACTTAAATATCTCCCCAGGACTCATGTGGTCAGGAGTTGCCCCCTGGCTGATGGGCCACTGGGAGGCAATGGACTAAAGGACATGGAGCCAAGTTGAAGGAGGTAGGCCACTGGAGGTACACCCTTCAGGGGTGAGTTCTCCCCTCCCTCCCCCACCCTCCCTTTTCCCTCCATCCTTCCTAGCCTCTAGGAGGTGAACAGCTTTGTTCCACCTCACCACAAGATGACAAGACCAGGTGACCATGGACTGAAACCTCTGAACCCATAAGTTAAAATAAACACTCCCAAGTTGATGTCAGTCGTTTGTTTATTTATTTATTTATTGTTTTTTCTTTGTTGTTTTTCAAGACAGGGTTTCTCTGTGAAGCCCTTTCCTGAACTCGCTCTGTAGACCAGGCAGACATCGAACTTGGAGATCCACCTGCCTCTGCCTTCCAAGGGCTGAGAATAAAGGCATGAGTCATCACCACCCAGCTGATGTCTGTTATTTTGTCACAGTCAGATAAACTCCAATTGTAGGCTGCCTTTTCCTTTTTTTGGGGGGGGGGGTGTGTGTGTTCATGTGTGTGCACATGCACGTGTGTGCATGCATGCATGAGTACGTGTGTGTGTGTGTTGGGGATTAAACCCAGGGCCTTGTGCATGCTAAATACATACTCTACATCTGAGTTACATACACCCTCAGCCCCTTGCAGAAGGGTATCGATGGCAGAAGCCTGACCAGGGATTACTGAGAACCCACTCCCAACATCAGCATCCAGTTTGAATCTTAATGACAGATAGATAAACTAACGCTCAAGGAACAGCAAGTCTGTACTCCATTGAAGATGACCACAGTAACTCACGTCCTCACTGAACTGATTCCTCTACACCAAGGGTCTGCCTGAATGGGAGACCCACTTGCATCCCTATTTCAGTCTCTACTGTTCTACAGCCAGTGTTTGACAACCAATCAAAAATAAAAGACAGTTGCCAGGGCTGGAGAGATGGCTCCACGGTTAAGAGTGTTTGCTGCTCTTCCAGAGGACCTGGGTTTGGTTCACAACTACAATTGGTAAACCCAATTCCAGGGAATCCCACACTCCCTCTGGCCTCCACAGGCACACGGTGCACACATGTACATGCAGGCAATACACTCATACATACAAAATAAAGATAAACATTTTTCAAAAAGACAATTGCCAATAGCTCCTCAGACAGAAGGGACTTCATGAGCCCTTTCCATCCCTGCTGGGATTTCAGCTGGCTTAGCCTTGTGGAGATCTTGGGCATGCCATCACAGCCGCAGTGAGTTCATGTGTGCAACAAGCCTGTCCCTTCTGGTGAAACACTGTTTTGCTTCAGTCAGCCACTGTCACTGGCTCTCTTAACCCTTCTGCCCCCTCTTCCTTCATGATCCCTGAGCCTGGTGAGGAAGGGGTGTGATAGGTAGAGCTGAGCACTCTGAAGTCTCTTATGATCAATTGGGGGTCTCAGTATTAGTGACCATCTACACAAATAGAAGCTTCTCTGATGAGGTAAAGAGATGCAGTCATTTATAGGGATGAAGACAAGAACTTAAGGGGCAGTTCAATACTGTGTCCATTTAGCAAAGTAACAGTACTAGGTTTTCTCCTAGGACCTAGGACCTAGCCAGCCATGAGGGTTGGGCTCAGTGGCTAAAGTGAATCAGAAAAGACAAATGGGGGAAAAAAATCTAACAAAATGGGCAGGCTTAAATCCAACCACATCAATAACTACATTAAATATAGGTAGTTTAAATACATAATCAAAACAGAGATTGTCATATTGGATGAAAAAGCAAGATTCAACCCTGTGTTATGTGCAAGAAACTCATTTAGACATAAAGATATAGACAGGGTTGAGTGCAAGAAACTCATTTAGCCATAAAGATATAGATAGGTTAAAAGCAAAAGAATAGAAGGCTGGGGGTGTAGTTCAGTTGGTAGAATGTTTGCCTAGCATGCACAAAGCCCTGGGTTCTATTGCCAGCACCCCCATAAACTGGGTGTGGTGGTGCTACATGCCTGTAATCCTGGCAACCAGGAGGTGTAGGGAAAAGGATAAGGAATTCAAGGTCATCCTTGGCTATATATCAAGTTCAAGGCCAATCTGAGCAACAGGAGACTGTCTCAAACTAACAAACAAAAAGTAAAAGAATAGAAACAGTATGTCATAAAACATTAACCAAAAGAAAATTCAAATGCTTTTAAGATTTTTCTCTCTTTATCATTTGCCTTGAGCTGACTGACTATGAAGTATCTTGGTATAATTTACCAAATCCTTTATTTACCTAATATACCAATAACACATATGCCAGATTGCTTGATATTGTCTCCCAGTTAACTGATGCTCCATTCATTTAAAAGTATATTCTTCAGGCTAGAGAGATGGCTTGGTAGTTAAGAGGACTGACTGCTCTTCTAGAGGACCTGGGTTCAGTTCCCAGCACCCACGTGGCAGCTCACAACTGTCTGTAACGCCAGATCCAGGAGACCTGACATCCATGGCAAAACACCAATACTCATAAAATAAAAAATAAATATTCTTACACTGTCTCATTTTGGATAGTTCTTGTTATGCTGGCTGGACTAGAGCAGCAAGACTCTGGGCCCTCTAGCCCTTGGCCCTGTGAAACAGGAAGCTTTCCAGGTGACTGGCAGGAACAGGCACCATCCTGACCAGCTGAGATTTCCTCTAATCCATCATGCTGCTTCTTTTCTGAGCCTTGGGACCTCCTCGTACGGATGCACAGGTCCCTGCTGACCTTTTAAGGAGTCTGCAGATCTCAGCACAGGTCCTTGCATATCCTTGCTCCCTTGGGTCTCTCCGCACTGTTTCCTGTTTCACTGATGGAGCCCACTAGGCTCTGCCTAGGTTCTGCTCCCTGTGCTGTGCAGTGAAGCTTTCTCCTATGCTGATGCAATTATGGGTGTCAAGAATTCTGGCCTTTGGTGCTTGATGTCCAGCGTCTTGAAAACCATTGTGCCACTCATTGTTGGCCCAGAAGAAAAAATCCATAACCTATTGCTCTGCACTGATCAGAATTAAATGGCAAAGGCCCAGGGGATTATGTTGAGGCATGTTTATAAGTCAGGATGATCAGGAAAGGAGATGGAGAGGGAAAAGAGTGGGACAGAGAGAGGGAAGAGGAGGAGAAAAAAAGAGCAAAGGGAGATCATACTGGATCGTTTGGTGCTGGAGAGATGGCTCAGTGGTTACAAGCATTTGGGGCTCTTGCAGAAGGCCTAGGTTCAGTTTCCAGCATCCAAATGGTAACTCATAAGTATCCTTAGTCCCTGGTGATTTGACAGCTTCTTCTGGCCTGTGTGGGTACTGTATGCACATGGTGCAGGGCACATATGCAGGCAAAACACTCATATACATGAAAGTAATATATCTTTGTTAAAAGAAAAGGAATGATTTCGGGAGGAAATCCTTGAGCAAGCTGGAGGGACGCGGTGGTAGAGAGTGTGACTTTAACAGACACTCTTCCACTGTGACGAACATTAGGCATGTGAGTTCAGCTGTAGGTAGGTCAGAGAAATGGCACAATGGTTGGAAGAAGTGGCTTAACTTGGTTTCCCCAGCAAAACTCCAGACAAGCTTAGGAAGAGCCCCCAGGAAAGATAGTAGGGTCACGACAGAGAGAAGGCAGCAAACAAGGAAACACTTCCAGGAGTTACTGCTGGGTACCGGGGCCTGGTGCACAGGAGGACTCAGCAGGAGCCCCAAGGGGACTTCTGACCAGCTTCCAATAGCTCTCAGTTGAAAGAGGGCATGCCTGTCCCAGCACTTGGAATCCCTGTACTACGGAGATGAAGACTGGTAGATCCCAGGGCTCTCAGGCCAGCCAGTTAAGTCTAGTGGGTAAGCCCCGATTCCCACTAGGAAACCCTGCCTCAAAACACAAAGGGAGACAGATCAGTCAGTAAAGTGTCTGCCTCTCAAGTATAAGGACCATGTTCAATCCTCAGAACCCACATAACAATGCTGCATGTGGTGGTACACCCTGAAATCCCAGCATTGGGAAAAGGCAGGATCTCTGGGGTTCACTGGCCAGGTTAGTCCAGCCTAACTAGAGAGTTCCCAAGCCAATGAAAGACCCTGCCCCCAAGGAAGTGGATGAAGATGACACTCAAGGTTGTCCCCGGTTGTCCCCACATGCATGTGTGCCTCCCATAAAGCATGCATGTGTAGCCCACAGAAACACACATAAATAAGAAATCAACACTGGGTTGTGAGGAACAATGTCTGAGGCTGACCACTGGCCTCCACACACTGGAACACGTGGTATACCCACACAAACACACACCGATGCAGAAAAAAGATTAAAGGGTACAGTGCTTGTCACTGCTTGACTGCAGATGCAGACTGACCTGCCACCTCACACCTGTGCTCACACCTGTCCTCACACTCCTCTCCTTACACCTGTCCTAACATTCCTGTCCCCACATCTGTCCTCACACCTGTGCTCACATCCTGCCACCTCACACCTGTCCTCACACTCCTGCCACCTCACACCTGTCCTAACATTCCTGTCCCCACATCTGTCCTCACACCCCTGTCCTCACACCCCTGTCCTCACTCCTCTGACCAGGAAGGCCTGACCTCACACTAAGCCATAAGAAACCCTCCTTACTAGTTCCTTTTGTCGGATGTTGTCACCGGGTGACTCCATGGTGGCCCATGCCTGTAATCCCAGCACTTGGGAGGCTGACGAAGCAGGAGGAATGTCTCCAGTTTGAGGCAAACCTGGCTAAATAGTGAGACTGAAGCTAGCCTGAGTTACTGTACAATACCCCATCTCAAAACACAGCAGGAGCTGCACACTGAAGCAGGGGTCGGGCTCAACCTCTCCCTCACTCCTGAAATCTCTAGGGCAGGCCAGCTGTCTACTTTAGGTTTGCACTCTAGTCCAGATCTCCTCCAGACTCAGAGGCCTCCTAGTGACAGCACTGAACCCTACTTCTTTTATTCCTCCTCCAAGGCTGCGTTCTCAATGCCGAGCTGGGAAGTTGTTAGAACTATGCTCAGCATAACGGTCTCACAGCAAGAGATCACGAGAGTGCATTTCTGGAAGTTATGTACCATGGTTCAAATGAACAATAACAACATCAACAACGTCCTGTGGCTTCATTTATTTGTGCTGTAGTCACCGGAAAAGTCGTCAACCCCCAAATGACTCATTCCCTGAGGTTCTGAATATGATCCTAAAATCACCACCCATGGTCTTCCTGTCCTTTGAAGTGACAGAACAAATGACAGCAGAGATGGGCACTGTCCCCCGAGTCCAGAATGGATGCTACATAAACATCATCTCAACAATAACATCTCACAACAATAACATCCTCATCTAAAAACAACCCGAACTAAGGATGTTGTTTCTGCTGTTTGCTTGTGCCCTTCAGTTAGGAAGCACTGCACCTGTGTGCAGAGACCAAAGACCAAGATGGTTTGTGGGGTTTGTATAGTCAATTAATGAACTTGCTGGTGCTTCCTTTATGCAGGCCCTGCTCTAAGGGCAGGAAAGTGAATTGGATTCTCAGAGTGAAAGTTGTGGTCCCAGGTGAAAACATCCAGAAAGAAGATGTGGATGAGAAGGCTAAGGGGTGGAATAGGAAGTGTCCTGGGAGGTGACCTGAGATAGAAGATTAAAGAGGGCTTCATAAACAGTTACGGGTCAAGGGCTGGGACATGGCTCAGTCTGCCAAGTGCTTGCCATGTAAGCATGCGAACCTGTTACATCTCCAGCACCCATGTAGAAAACCCAAGCGTGGTGGCATGCATTTGTAATCCCAGCACTGGGGTGCAGAGAAAGGAGGAGGATCCTTGGAGTTCACTGGCTGGCTAGTCTAGCCTAGTCAGAGATCCTGCTTCAAGAAACAAGGTGGGTGCACTGGATGAAGAAGAAGCAAGTGGGGGAAAGGGCCTGTCAGATTCTTCTAGCTAGACAACGATAGCACTATGAAATTAAAACCCAAAACAAGCAGCCCTTTCAATCACGTTGCTAAGTCCAGAGATTCTGACAATACTTTGTAGGTAGGTGGGAGTGTGACAGTCTTTATCTAGGTGGCTTCTTAACTATTCTGAGGCCATTGCTCACGGGCACCCCACATCTGTTTCATTCTACCTTTGGATGCTCTGGCTGTAGCATACCCCACACCTCTACCCACATAGGGAATATCAACCTCATCTGCTACCTCAGCACCAGGGGGTCGCCTTCTTGTAGTTTCTCCTGACTCAAAATACTGCCCCTTCTTCCCAGCACAGACAAGATGCTATGGTCAGGGGGTAGCAAGCAGGAGTCATATGGAACAGCAGGTGTTGATCTTGGTTGGGACAGCTTAAGGCTGAAGTACTTTTAGGAAATCAACTGTGAATAGCCAAGGCAATGAGTTTGCTCACAGAAGAGAGCATACAGGTACATACTTGAGTCACTAGAGAATTGGAGCCAATGCATCTACTCAGCAATGTGCTAACCTGTACAGCTTCCTTTTTGGGAACCCAGCACCAGCCAGACCCTTCTCCTGTCATCCAAGGCCAGTGCACTGGCAGTACTCCCTCATATTAGAAATCCTCCTTAGAGGAATCTCACCAGGAACAATTCCTTACACCGAAACAAAGCCAAGTAAAATGATAGAACCAGGTACAGTGCACAGCTTAGTTCCAGCTATCTAGAAAGGCTGAGGCAAGAGAATCAATTGAGCCCAAGAGTTCACAACTAGGCTGGACAAGAGTGAGATCTCTCACCTCAAAATAAACAAGCAAACATCCCCAAAGCAGCTATGTATGGTGTGACATATGCCTTCAATCCCAGCCCTTGAGAGGCGGTGATGGGAGGACTATGGGTTTGAGACTAGCCTGGGCCACAGAGTGAAACTCTCAATAAATTTGTTTTCTAAAATCTGTTGACTACACTTACCCTTACAACAACGACCTATTTTGTTTGTTTATAGTGACTCACGGGACTGTCTGTGTTCTCCAATTCTCTCCATTCTCCTATAGCTTTTCAGAATTTCATCATTTTCCCAAGGTCATCAATGACTTCCTTGGGGCCAACCTCAAGGACATTGTATTTGATGAACTGCAGAAATTCTTTTTAGGACTGTGAGATGGCTCAGCCACTGGTAAAAGGTCACCAAGCTTGATGGTCTATTTGACACCTAGAACCCACATGGTAGAGGAAGAGAACTGACTCCTGAAAGTTGTTCTCTCTTTGGCTCCCTCTAAATGTAAAAATAACCTGAAAATGAATTGCTTCTTTATTTGTGTCTAGGACACCAGTGTCCAGTTTCACCTCCCACCCTTCTGGCCATCCCTTCCATCTTCTTTCTGGTTCCATCATCCTGACCCCATGTACTGCACTGTCCTAGGGCTCACCCACTCAACCTCTGTCCTTCTGATCACTGGCCTTTCCATTTGATGTCTAGTAAGCATCTTCAACTTAATGGGTGCCTAACTCAGTCCTGCTCTCACTCCCTGATATGAGAACTCCAGGCTTTCCCGTTTCAATGGCCATTCTACTCTTCCAAGGTGCCTGGTTCAAATAAATACCTTGGTGTTGAGTGACATCATTAAAATGTTCTATGCTCCCATCCCCCAACAAGCATCGGAAACCAAGCAGAAACTGTGAGAAGCAGCCTCATCAGAGTTCTGGAAAACAGTTACAGCAATAGCAAATACTCAGTAAAGAAAAAAGGTAACTTCAAAACGTCAGGGTACTTACCAGGAACTGGTGGAGGCAGGCAAGGGAAGCAAGCCGCTGTGTAAAGGGGACCGTTTCAGTTGGGTTGGTGGAATAATTCTAGTGACGGACAGTGATGATGGCTGAACATTGTGAATGCACTAAATGCCACCGAGTTATATTCTTAAAACAGTTAAAATGGTAATCTCAGGTTATGTATATTTTGACATGAGAGAGAGGGGGGACAACTGATGGCACTCTGTGATACCACCCAGCTCATGTCTGCACTGTGGGAGCCTGGTCCCTAGCTCTAGAAACAGCAGAACAGAGGTGCCAGGTACACTCTCCTGTTTTGCCCTTCCTAGGGTTGACAGTGTCCTAAAGACTGTGGATAGCCCACAGATGCCGAGGGTAAGACTTGCTTGGGTCTAACACAGGTAACTCACCCTGAGCCCTGGAGGAAAAGGTGGAGGACAGTTTGCTGGGGAGGCAGACATTCAAAAGCACCTCTTGGGAGAGGGAACTTGAAAACACTCATCCCAAAAGACCTGAAACTGTCACCTCCACTGGGTCCCTAGGATCTCTGGACGTCTAAGTAAGGCTGAACGGCCAGATGAGAAAAGCAATTTACAAAGATTTTTGTCTGTTTGTTTAGCTCCTGGGATCCAAGAAAATCTGTCAAATGTTAGTTGAACACCAGCTAGGAATACAGACTTCAGTAACCACGTGTGAGGAAGAAATCAATCCATGACAAGTACAGGAATAGGCACTAAACAAATGGATTGCTACAGCCTTGAACAGCTAGCCAGGAAAAAACAAAAATCTGGGCTCGGTGTGCATGCCCTTCATCCCAGCAGAGGCAAGCAGATCTCTGTGAATTTGAGGCCAACCTGGTCTACACAGTGAGTCCCAGGCCAGCCAGAACTACATACAGAGACCCTGTTTCCAGAACGAACAAACACCACCACCCAGAGAAACCTGAGAATGTTTAAAAGACATTGATTTACATGACTTAAAAGACAAATGTATAAAAATGATTATAAATCTGTTATTGGGTACATAAAAATATACTTTGTGATAACATGAAAAGAGAGAAGCTACACAGGAACATGAGTTTTGAAGTTGGTATTGATTCAAACTGGATTGCTACATATTTAGAACATTCACTATAATTCCCACAGTAGCCACAAGGGAAACATTTAAATATCCTAGAAGAATGTGGGTAAAGGTACTTCTCTCCAGGCCTTACGTGAGTTCAATCCATGGGTCTCACACAGTGAAAGGGAGGAGAGTCTTTTTAAGTTGTCTTCTGATCTCTACAGGTGCACCATGGCACATGCCCCTCCCTCCTCCTTCCAAATAAATGTCATTTTAAAAGTTAAAAAAATCCCTAATATGTACACCCAAAAATGAGTGAGGAAAGAAGACTATTTTAGGGAACCACTGAAGAGGTTTTTAAAATGCTGCAAGGAACTGAGAGTGACATCAGGAAATGCAGTTTTGTTCTTATGCACCAATACAACTAGATAGTGTGACCAAATTAGTTCACTATGCCTGCCAGCTCTGGTAGCTTAGGAGTCTTTTGACTTCCCCCCCAACACACACACCCCCTTTGCTGTAACTCCACTCTCTGTTCCCACCACCCTGTCTTAGGAGTCTTTTGACTTCACACACACACACACACACACACACACACACACACACACACACACACACACCCTTTGCTCTAAGTCCACTCTCTGCTCCCACCCCCGTCTTAGGAGTCTTTTGACTCCCCCCCACACACACACACCCACCCCCTTTGCTCTAAGTCCACTCTCTGCTCCCACCCCCGTCTTAGGAGTCTTTTGACTCCCCCCCCACACACACACACCCTTTGCTCTAAGTCCACTCTCTGCTCCCACCCCCCTGTCTTAGGAGTCTTTTGACTCCCCCCCCCCCACACCCTTTGCTGTAACTCCACTCTCTGCTCCCACCCCCCGTCTTAGGAGTCTTTTGACTTCACACACACACACACACACACACACACACACCCTTTGCTGTAACTCCACTCTCTGCTCCCACCCCCCTGTCTTAGGAGTCTTTTGACTCCCCCCACACACACACCCACACCCTTTGCTCTAAGTCCACTCTCTGCTCCCACCCCCCTGTCTCTGAGTTGGGTTGTCCCTGGACAGCTAGCTTGCCTCCTCCTCCTCTTTGCCTAAACTCTCGTTTTTCCTTTAGACTATAGCTCACATTTCTCTGAGGGACACTTTCTGTAGGAGCCCCGTTTACAGCCTTCCTAAACACTCAGTATTTCCACCATCATTCTTACTATTTATTGCTAGTTGTAGTTCTTTGATTCAAACGCATTCTTACTAGCTTAAAACTTCCCCAGTATGGGACTCCTCCTCCCTCGACTGATGTTTCCAAGTTCAACCTCTGCAGATGTACTCCAAAGATGCATGGAAGAGAAAGAAGAGGAGGACCCTACAAAGAACCATGGTGGTTGGGTGTGGATTTGCATAGGTAGCAAAAGTCTTCTTGAAACAATCAGGTAATGCAGGGCAAGAACTTCAACCTCTGTTGTCTTCAGCCTTTTGGAACTTATGCTCAAGTAGCATACTGGGCCTCAAGGCCAGACTTGCCTACCTTACAGAAAAACCCTCGACTTGTAAGCATGGAAGACAGAGCGAGCCTTCTCACAAGTCCAAATCTGTGCCCGTTTCTTTTCTTGGTCTAGTACACAGGTTAACTCAGAAGCTTGCAAACCCACAGCACAGAGGCAGCCAACTTCTCACTAGCCTTTCTGGAAAAGGCCTTCCATATATTTCCTCTTACTGATTTGTGAAACACTAAAACAGAAACAAACAAACAACCAACCTGAATTAAGGAGCTCTGTGAGAAGCTGCCTAAGGATGATGAATGTTACACAGTCAAGTTCCTCTGCCCTTCCAGAGGCCAGTCCTCTTGCATGGCACAAACATGCCCTTCTAGAGAAAGCAGTAAGGCATGCCTCAGAGCAATTCCATTTGCAGTGTCTGTGAACTCTTTCCTTTAACTTCTCAAGCCCTTGTTATCTGTGTATAAAATGGAATGGTGTGACTACTCAAAACACATCCAATACCTAACTCCTTGCCTGGCATTTTTACATTACTGTTGGTCCAGCCTTTAGAGTCCCAAGGTTAGATTTTATGTTATGGGAAGTGCAGAGAAAATGCAACTGACTCAAGTTCACATAAGCAATAACCAAAGGAGCCAGGGACTCAAACCCAGGCCACTATTCCTTTGTACCCTGTCTCTTGCCACCCTCTGCCCAAGCAGCCTATTGTGGGAGCCTTAGAAAGCAATGCATTCAAAGAACAAGCTTTCAATTCTAAGACACAGTTTAAAAATATTAAGTAATGCTACATCAGAGAGGAAGAACTAGAGCTGACTCAAAAGATTTTAATGGTGAAGAATTACTTTCCTCCTAATAGTAGTAATGCTTCTTATACATCACAAATTCTCAATTGTAGTAATACCACTGAAAAGAAGCAAAGGGACCAAAGAGATACTTCTCCAGAGATAAACCAGTGACTAAGACACATATGAAAAGTGTTCATCATTAGCTGTAAGGGAAATGAAAGTCACAACCACAAGGAGGTAGCACTGTAGATACTAGGCTGGCTACATTAAAAGAGCCAATAGCAAGTGTTGGCAAGAAGCCCTCATGCACAGGTAGAGTAAATGCAAAAACACCTGGTCTCTGTGGCAAACAATCTTGCCAGTTCCTTAAAAGATCAAAGGTAGTTACTCAAGAGAATTGAACCTTAAAGATAATTTGTGCATTAGCATTTGCAGCAACACTGCTCATAGTAGTCACAAAGTAAAAACGCATGTGCCCATCAGCTGATCATTTTTACAGTGTGACACATCCATGTACTGGAACAGCCATAAGGAAAGAAGCACTGATACATGCTTGTTGCAACATGGAAAAGTCTTGAGTTATGATACCACATGAAAGCCATCACAAAGACCATTTACTGTATTCTATTCATATGAGGTATCCAGAGCAGGAAGTCCATAGGGACAGAAAGATGAGCAGCCCTCTAGGGCTAGAGAGGTGACTGGTGATGCTGTTTGGGGTACTTTTGTTGATTGATGAAACTGTTCTAAAACTGACTTTGGTAATGGGTGTTCTATCTGAAAAATCCTAGAAACCATTGAGCCACACACATTATATGTTTAAGTATATGGCATGAATACTCAATAAAACTGGATCTCTTTGAGTTCAAGACCAGTATGGTCGACATAGTGACTTCCAGGTCAGTCAGAGCTACATAGTGAGACTCATCTCAAAAATAATAAATAAAAATGAAAACTATAAAGTCTTCTAAATTCACCATAAGTTATACCTGTAACAGTAGGTACTTTTTTAAAGTTTACTTTAAACCAAATCTTTTGAAATTAGTAAGTTTGCCCTCAGACATATTATGTAGCAGAGAATAACTGTGATTTCTCATTTTCCTGCCTCTCCCTCCCAAGTACTGGTATTATAGGCATCCACCACCGTGCCTAGTTTTTCTGCGGTGCTAAGGATTGCACTCAGGGCTCTGTGCATTCTAGGCAAGCACTCTACCAACTGAGCTACATCTCCAACTCCAAACCAAATTAGATTTCTAATGGTTTTGTAGAAGTGCATCATTATCTCTAAATATCCTTCAGAGACAGCTTACAATTACTTTTAATTTATGGACTTAAACATGAAACAAAATAATGCTATCAATTTCAGCAAAAGCATATCTGGTGATAGATCCATACATGTTATCATCATTCCACTTAAGAAACGTAGAGAAAGTGGCTGAAGTGATGGCTCAGCGGTTAAGAACCATCTAGAGCCATGGTTGCTATTCTAAGAGAGCCTGGGTTCACTTTCCAGCACTCATGTGGTGGCATACAACTGTCTGTAACTCCAGTCCCAGGGGATCCATGGGCACTGCATGTACATGGTGCACCACACACATAGGCAAAACACTCACATATGTCAAATAAAGGGGAGGGGGTGGAGACCTGGGGAATATGGTCAAAGAACATATACATATATATATATATATATATATATATATACACACACACACACACACACACACACACACACACACACACACACACACACATATATATATATATATATGTATGTATATACACTTACATGCTGGGGCTGAGGAGATAGGTCAGTAAAGTGCTTGCCACACAAACATGAAAACTGGCACTCACAGGAAGAGCCAGGCCATGACTTGTGCTTATAACCCCAGCACTGGGGAAGTGGAGACAGGCAGCCAGTCTAGACTAGTGAGTAAGCTCCAGATCCTTGTTTCAAAGAATAAGGTGGGGGCCAGATGTCTCAGTGGGTAAAGTCATCTGCTGCCAGGCCTGGCTACCTAAGTCAGATTCCCAGGACCAAGATGGTAGGAGAGCCAATTCCCACAAGCTGTGTCCTTCAGCCTCCTTAAAAAAACCAGGAACCAAGAAGATGGTTTCTGAGCAACAACCTCACGGTTAATCTCTGCTGAGTATGTGCCAACTAAAAGAAGAGAAAGAACCCCAGAATCATTGGAGCTCCCCGCTTCCTTCCCAAGCAGGAAGCCCCGTCTGTGAGCTCCAGATGGGTAGGGTTTACCATTTGCTCACTGTAATATCCTTGGTGGTTAGATTATCCTTTATGGACCTGGCACATAAAAAAGGAATGAATAATACCTGCTCAGAAATTCATGCTCTAATTGGAATTAGAACTGTTAAAAGGAAAAAAAATCAATCTTACTTGATAATTCATGTGTGTGTATTATGTGTGGGTGCATATAACTTTTGAAATGTAGATTAAATGAGACTCATTTGGCATTTCAGCTGCTGGAACACAGTAAGGTTAAATTCTGAGAGGGACATGGGTATGCTATCCTGATAGAAGATATGAAACATAACTTACTCAAGTTTGTTCTTGTTTCCTGATCCATGTGTATTCAAAAGATATTTTATTTTATAAAAACTTATACCTGCAAGTAATGGATTGACCATAACAGGGCTTACCCTGGAATACATGGATGCTCTTGGGAGCCCACAAGCCCCTAATATTGTATGCAAAATCTAACATGTGTACTGGCATGTGTACATTTTTGGTGATTGAGTTCATAGTTTAGTCAAATTCTTGAAGACATCTATGACCCAAGAGAGGTTAAATTATTTCTTAGCTAGGAACAGTCACAAAGTGGTTGAAACAAATCTGTACAATAAAATGCTATCCAACAGCTCCATCTATTGGTGAGTAATTATCACCTAGTAGAAATGGGGACAACCACCAAGAGCAAGCTTGTCTCAGGGATGCTCCTGCTGAGACGTTCAGTGTCACTCTAGTGTGAGTTTATTAACTACAGCATCACAGCTTCTTCTTCCCAGGTGTAGACGCAAAAATTAGGAGGTGGGTGATAAATTCTACTTACAGTACTTCAGCACCAAAAAATTGGGCAGTTATGCTGATAAATGTATATACAGTTCAACATTTGTCAGTCTTAAAATGCTTATTTATAGTGAAATTCATATAAAACCGTTAAAAATTTTTCTATTTACACTTTTTAAAAATGAAAAGTATAGTTTCTTCTGCCACAGCTTGTCAAAATTCGTACCCTCCCATCCCTTACCCTTCACTCAACTTGTGATAGACAGCAATCACAAGAACAAAACAGCACGTAAACAACTGCTCCCTAAAAAAGTAAAAACTTAAAAACATTACATTTAGAACTGTAGGTGAACTTTTTCATACATTTCAAAGGGGCTTAAAGAAAAGTAGTAAAAGTTATTCTCAAAGTCTTATCAGTCCCACATAGGTGTGCAACTTCGGTATCAAGAGAGCATCAGTGAACAGAGTTCATTTTCCTTAACACAACTCAACATTTCCTTTGGGCTAGAAAGGTCTTTTCTTCTGCTTCCCACCAAACCTTCTCTAATCCATCTTCTTAAAGGGGGGGAGGGGAGGTGGGAAGGCCAGGCGATCCAGCTTCCTAGGACATGTAGGAAAAGGGATTCAGCCTGCTTGGAAACATTTACATTAAATAAATAAGCAAGTGTGGAACACCACAATAAATTAGTATACAACCACAGAGCATATACAAGCCACCCCAAACACTTCCTGGTTAGTGATCTAATGTTTACCCTCCAGCAAGGACTCTCTAATGCCAGAACTTTCCTAGGTATTCATAAACTAACCATGAACTGAGCAAATGTAAAATGTTAACCAAAGCAACACTTCCAGGGATATGCAAAAACAAACACAATTTTAAAAAATGTTCAGATACATCATTTCAAAAATACAAACTCTTCACATTCTCCTTTCTTTTCCTTTTAATATTCTCTGGTGGCATTTGCGCAGTGAAAAGCAGCTGAGAACCACTCACAGGAAAGTCTCTTTCCACTGCCAGACAAACTTGGCACTGCCTAGCTCCAGTAAGCTGCCAGGTCTCCATGGGTGTGCATCTTTTCCTCTGCTTGCTTTCTTGCTTTCTTTTTCCTCTCCATTTTTTTTAAGTACATTCCTCTGTGAGTTTTATCTTGTTAAAATGCTGCTCCTGCAGCAACATCTCATTGAAACACCGTGTTTCTAGGTCCATAGCCTAAATATAAGCAAAGTGCTTTTTTTAGACAACAAATCATAGGTTTCCCTGGACACTTGGTAACCAAGCAGGCTTTAAAGTGCACTCTGGTGTCTGAACACTAGGACCGCTCAGCAGAGCTCTGAGAGGGGCTGGGCTCAGTTCCATCCTCCGTGCTACTGTCTACATCCTGCTCCATCGCTGTCTCATCGTCATCCAGCTGCTGACTGGTGAAGTTGTTCAGTTCAAGAAGCCCACTGGGCTCCACTACCACGTTGGAGCTGGAGTGACAAGGAATAGCGTACTGGGGAATGGCCTGGAAGAGAAGATGCAGCAGAGTATGTTTATAGTGAAAAAAGGACACGGGAGAATGCCCCCGAACTAAGCATAGAAAACAGAAAGTTTGGCATGGACCAGACAACCTCCACAACAAGCACTGCACTAGCTCTCCCACATGGCAGTCTACCGCATCCCGTGGCAATGTTGTATGGAAACTATCACTCTCTTGGTACAAGTGAGCAAACGTGAGGTGAGAGACATCCGCAAGGTCACACAGCTGCCAAGGTCAATGCTGGATTCAACCTCAACTTCTGTACAACTCAAAGTGGTCTTTGTACTCCTGTATGGGGCCTCTTCCAACAAAGAAGGCTAATGGCCCCTGGAAATTTCGAAGGCAGGCTTTAAAGAATGCTTTCATCTTACCTGAATTTTACCAGGTTTGTTTTCTTTTCTGAGACAAGATCTTACTATGAAGTCCTGGCTGGCTTAAAACCACTATATATCTAAGGCTGGCCTCAAATTCACAGAGATCCACCTGCCTCTCCCTCTCAAGTTCTGGGAATAAAAGCATGCTCCATCACACACAGCCTGAATTATACAATATTTTTGTTCTTCATCTGAATGACTAGTTGCTGACACACAATAAATTTTAAGCCTCTTTGGTGGTTCAAAGAGGAAACCAATTTGTTTAGTCATAGCACAAACACCTTTACTGCAGTTAAGTAGTGAAGGTATTCAAATATAAGAGAATGCCAAAAATCTGCCATTTAAACAGCTAAAAAAAATTACTAAGTGAACACTGGTGGGGCCCCTTGCTAAGTACTTATTGGTGACTTAGGGTCCTACCAGATTCTTTTTTCTTCCTAACTTTTTTTTTGGGGGGGGTTCGGGGAGGGTCCTCATGTATCCCAAGCTGGCCTTGAATAGATTATGTAGCTGAGATGGCCTTAAACTTCTGATCCTCCTGCCTCTACCTCCCAAGTGTGGAGATTGCAAGCATGCATCACCATGCCTGGCTATAGATACCTTTTAACAAGGAATATCAGTTATATCACACCTCTGCTCCTAATCCTGGGCAGGAATGAACTGCATTTTCATTCCTGCTAATACAACGCAGAAAAATCATTTTCAACTAAACCACCCAAATGAGTATGCAATCTAAGCCCCAGCTGTCACAATCCATTTTAGTAAAATCAGTAGCAGTTACCATCTGTTGGACAAACACTGAGGCAGTCCCTGTGCTAGATGCTTAATTTTATTAACCCTTACACAGAGTCTATAAATTAGGCATTACTTATTCCCACTACCAATGAGGAAACTGAGACAAGAGTCACCTTAGCAGTCCAGCCCAAAGTAGTAAATGGCAAAATCAGAAACCCATCCCTTTCCCAAAACAGCCTATCTCTTCAGGTAAAAAACCAGCAGCAACAAAACCTTTTGTTAAGAAATATGTAATTCACTAAATTCATTGTTACAGATGAAAAAATATTTGAATAATTTTGGCTACTTTGACTCATCTTAATTATCAAGTATTTAATTATGTCTCATTTGGTTTAACAATGGTCAATTTGTGTTCTCTCATAGCTTAACATCATTGCAAATGGAAAGCTTATTGTATGAACTTTGAAGCACACAACAGTGGCTCTGTGCCAATTTTAAATTATCCACAGGTCTGTAAATGGGAATTCTCAATGAACTAAAATGGGCTGCTCTGATACTTGGTAAACTATGTACCAGTTTGGAGGAAATAAGAACTGCCAATATCAAGGGAAAAAACCTTAATATCTTGCATTGAGAGATGGAAATCAAACACAACTCCTAAGGACTCTAGTCTGGCCTAGTTTTAGTCATCAATCTTAACCTGTAACACAGAATGACTGATGGCTTTTCGAACAAAGAGGATGAACGGAGACGGTAGCCTGCCGGTGAACTGTCCACTGTGGTGACAACACCTTAACAAGATGATCAAACAATAACTGACACAAGAAGCTGAAGCAAGTGTATGGTTAATGCAAGTTAGATGTAAAAGCAGTCAGAAACACACACGGGGAATGTGTTTCCGCAGACATTCCAGTCAGCTCAAGAGGATTATTCTAGGAACCACAAATTCAGATGAGGAACAAGAAATGTTTACAAAGTGTCCCTGAAATTCAGCTGAACAGAAGTGCAAACAGTCCTATTCCAGTTTGTCAGACCAAGCAGCCCAAAATGTGAGCCCAGGAAATTATTGACCTTTTGAGTGAACTAAGTCAACACACTGCAAGAATGATGTGGACATCAAATCAAGCTAACACACAGGCACAGTCCTCATGGTCACACAGTATGCTGTTTGACCACATATACCAAGTTTCTATGATTATTTTCAAAACAAATAACAACAACAACAAAATTAAATATAAATTTGTATACTGTAATAGTTTCTAAACCAACTCAAAAATAATCTCTGCATTTTGTTACCACCTTGGAGTGACTAGTCTTGTGACATCCCAAAAATGTATCAAACCAACAACCTCCCATCTACCCAAGACGTCTCATTTTCCTTCCGGGTCTTACCTGGATGATAATTTCTGTTGGGCTCTCTTCAGCTTTCTTTTGGCCTACATTCTGAATACGCATGAACTGGCCTGCCGCAGGCACTCCTGCTGCTTCGATCTTTCTGGTCGTTAGGGGAGGGCCAACAGCAGATGGACTTGAACAGGACTCTCTACATTTCGCCATCCCTGCCACCACCACGTGGGTGGAGGGTAAAGCTCCTGCCTCACCGGTGAGCACACTGGTGGCTAGAGCCTTCTTTGGGGGATCCACTACCATATGTTCTACATTTGTATCAATCTGAGCTTCCATCAAAGACATCTGCAAAATGTCTGACACTGCTGTCTTCTCAGAGGCCTGAATGGGAGATATGCTTGTAACTGGTGACGTCAGCTTAGGAACAGAACTGCCACCAGTTATCTTTGTAACTGTGGGAGGCTGGCGCCCCTCAAATGTTATCTTTGTAACAGAGGATCCTTGGGTTATAATTGGCTGCTCCACCTGAAAACAAATTGGGGTTGTGTGTATTATAGCTACATCTCTTTGAGGAAAAACTAATCAAACACTCCAGAAAATATGGTAAAAGAAACATTCGTGCGGTATACTAGGAAGACATTTTGAAGCTCGATGTTTTAGTAAGAGGGCTGGATGGGAAGGATCTGTTTTCTTTTAAGGAACCTAGGGAAAGAGGAGGGGTTGAAAGAACCTTTGTTCAGCCAGCCAAGCTTTGAGGCAGTAAAGGAAAAATAAAAAAAAATCACAGTAGCCTAGTTTTCCTGAGATTTACATCCCGAGATACCTTCAACCCGGTCAAATGATTTCATATAATCTGCTTTTAAAATTAAAAGTGAGTTGAATTTTTTCAATCTTTTCCTTCGAAGTACAATTGTACAAACATATTCTATATATGTATATATATACATATATATATATATACACATACATACACACACACATCAGTCCCATCAATTAGTGCTAATGAAAATTTTCTTTTGATTATCCATATATTTCCTCTGTTATCTAGATGATAAATCTAGAGGGTAAATTCAACATCTAGATGGTAATGATATAAACTAGAAAGGAAGACAGATGGTCAATTACGTTCCTTAAAAGACTGCAGTTCACTTAGCATTACTGCCACAAAAGTAAGCATTTATAAGCATGGAGGTATGGAGCTATCATTTCCATGCACTGCTGATTACTGCTGAAGTGATTTCTTTAGAAACTGCCTAGGAAAGCATACTCTGAGAGTTGTGTTTTCCTCTCTATCAGTAGGTGCGCTTTCCCCCAATACCAATACCAGCATAATGAGGATTTTGGGTTCCCCTTATTTGGAGAAAGCACTGCTGGCTGTGATGACAACCATAAAAAACCTCACCTACCCCCAGCCCCCGTGAACAGAGAAGTAACTTTGCAAGCTATCAAAATTCTGTTACCTGGCTTGCCGGCTGTTTCTCTGATGAAGTGGGGAGAGCCATTTGGCTCTGGGGAGTTTGGGGTTGCACGTAGATTTTTGGTTGGGTTGGAGCTTGCTGCAGTTTAGGAAGCTGCTGCGTGGTTTTTACAGCAAGCACCTGTACCACAGTTTGCGGGGGCTGTGCCATTAAGGTAGGAAGCTGCCTGTCTTTGGCCACCACGGGATGCTGTGTGTGCTGTGCATCTGGCTTGGGCTGTGCTTGTTCCTGCTGGAGAGGAGTCAGTTTCTGATGCCTGATGGAGAGCTGGGGCATCTGTGTGAGTTTGTGCTGGAGTTGGTCTGCCTGCAGGTGGATGGTCTGCTTCTGTTTGGTCTGAAAGCACTGCAGAGTTTTCACTTGCAGCTGAGTCTGTTCCAGCTGGGGCTGGCTAAGTTTCTGCTGCTTAGTTGACTGTGACTGAGTCAGGGCAGACCGGTAAAACAGACCTGTCTGAGGATCCAATGTGTCCATCTCTTCAACCTCACCTTCCTCAGTTCCAAGTTCCTCACTGTGTTTGGTAAAAGCAGTATGACTGCTTAATGCCTACGTAAAAGAGACACAAAGTAAGAATGAAATAAAAAAAAACACATGCAGAGTCACATTTTTCCTGAACTGGAAAATATTAGAGATTCATTCCAATACTTTTCGAGGAGCTCCCAGCTCAGGAGTCATGCTGCAGCCTGTGTGTGAGGGATGCTCACCTGTCTAAAGACAGAAGGCAGCAACTGAGTAGAGAGGCATCCAGAGAAAAACCAAGGCGCGGGAAAGCCCACTTAGGTCACATTATGCGTAGTCCCAAAGGTCAGCTGTACTATCTAGGAGATGTGTCCACCCCGATCCCCACAGCAAGCCTCTCTGAGGAGAGGATGTACCACCAAGGTCTGTGAGTCTCAGAGTCCAGACTCACTAGGCCACAGCTTCCTAGAGACCTGTTTCCTGGAAGGGAGTGAGCCAGGGGACAAGTCATTCCTCTTCATGGGAAAAGAGATTGACTGCCTATGGTCAGCTAAGACAGCACTGGGGGAGAAATCATTCTGAGTGACACTGTTAGAGCCAGCCTATCTGACCTCTGTGTGTCTTAAGAAAGATCAATGTCAGGACCTACCAGTGAAGAACAGGCTAAGATCTGCTACCCACTGAAATCTGAGACAAGTTGCTTTCCTTTGGGACACAACAAAATCCACCTTATCCCTAACTCTCCTGCTGCCTATACCACTATGCCACTATTAACTTCAAAATTGGAACTTGCTCTTAGATCAAGGCTTGATACACACACAGTTTTGATTCAACACCTCTTTACTGTCTTTCAGGTAGGCCACAAACAGTCAGGTTGAACTGCTGGCAGCCAAGTGACAAGGATTGAAGGGAATACTAAGGAGAGACATGGTTGAACCTGATACCCACAATGAAGCTATGTGGCATAAATGTCACTATGGGTTTAAATCATGGTTCTGCCACCTGGAGCAAGTTACATGACTTTGGCTAGTAAGAGGTATGATATGATACACCCATCTTTCAGAATGGTAGTGAGGTGTACTTACAGTTCAAAGCATGGTGCCACATAAAAATCAACTGAACGACATAGCTTTCTTTTTCCTGCCTAGCCTTAATACCAGGGGTTTTTATCTGCTATGAGTTCATTCCTTTCCTGTTGAGTCTTCTTTTATTGGTCACATATAATTAAAGGAGTGAAATATTTCTTTCCCTTCTTGTTCATAATGGTCTTGTAAGGATTCATTATAAAGTATAAAATAAAAGCAAAAATAAACTTAGCATCAAACAGCTAAACAAGCCAAATGCTATTTTGTTCTGAAAAATCTTACTAATACCATTAGTAAATACATCTGTAATAGTAAGAGACACAGGAACAGTGATCAGTTCTGATGTTAGGAGACTCACCTAGACAGCCCAACCCTCCTGAAATCCTAAGAGTCTCTAGAATGTCAAAAAATACTGCTTTCTAATTATTTCCTGGTGTTTAGACCCTCAATTTAGACTATTCATTCCTCACAGATGGATGAGTTACACATACATCATACATTCTACAATTCAGATATGTCTCCTTTTTCAAATAGAAAATAAAATTGAACCTGATATCAGGAATAAAGTGGTTACAGAAGGTAAGAAGAAAAAGAAGAGATACAACCTGTTGCATAATGTGGGTGATTGCTCCAGGGGAAGACGCTGGGATGGACTTTACCACCACTGAAGTCTGTGTCGCAGTCTGTGACTGAGCCACATGTTGGAGCAGGGTCCGCTGGGGCTGGGAAGGCTGTTGGGGCTGGGAGCGATGGCTGACTGAAAACAGAGGAGGTGGTGATGTTTCTCCAGAAATCACCACAGCAACTACAAGCAGTGATCATTTAAAACATGAGTATGAGCTTGTATCCCACAGGGTGGTACTGCAAACTAAAAGGCAGAAGACCAGAACCTGCCCGTCTAGGAATCGGGTGACCCTAAGAGCCTCTTATGAAACTGTTTCCTCATCGGCAAAATGGCAACAACAGAGCTACTGTATGACAGGGAATGTGTAGAGAGGCACTGTGAAAACGTGCCTTTCAAGTGGCACCCTCTTGTGAACTGTTGGGTTTTCTCCAATGACTCTTAGCCCACTGAGGTCACAGGGAAACGATGTATTTCCACAACCCCAGACACATCATTAAGGAAAGTGGGAAAAGAATGCAATCCAAACACTAGCATTGCTCCTTTATATGAAGAGAGACTGCTTCACAGCTTTATAGTTCCTGACAATGTCAGAGGACAAAATGATGCTGCACAAGGAATCCTGTCCGACTCTGTTCCAACCACTCCTGTGAACTTGAAGCCACTTGTTTTCTAGTAAAGCACCAAAACTCAGAGCCTGACTCTGCCTGTGTTTGAATGGGATAATAAAACCTTGCTGTTTTTTCTTACAAGAGGCAAATGAAAAAATGGATTGAAAGCAGCCCTTAAATAAATAAAGGGTCAACAGGAAAAACAGGTTGTTCTGCCACTCCAGTTTTAGCTCAAATAGACCGGCAAGAGTGAAGTTGTAGGAACCAACCCCATTTCCTCCTCTCTCGTCACAGGGCTCATTCAAACTACCCATCCACATAGGTACCAGTCTGCATCATCATTTACCAGCCTCAATTTCTTCTTTTTTTTATTTATTTTTATTTTATATGCACTGGTGTTTTGCCATGGGTGTTGAGTCTCCAGGATCTGGAGTTTCAGAGAGTTGTGAGCTGCCATGTGGGTGCTGGGAATTGAACCCGGGTCCTCTGGAAGAGCAGTCAGTGCTCTTAACCACTGAGCCATCTCTAGTCTCCTACCAGCCTCAACTTCAAGTTTTAACAGTATAGACAACTTGCCACATCCAAACACATACAACACTCAAATGCCTTTAGCTACTGGGAAGGAACCCTTGAACCAAGAATAGGTAAAAAAACAAATCTGTAAATAAGCTAAGGGTTTTGAGAGTATGAAAACTCCTCCAATAAGCCATAACTGTAAGGTTATGTAGCTTATCCCTGCTCCATGCTTAGAAACAGCTGAATGCCCAAGAGTGAGCTCCACCTACAGATCAAAGTATCTGTGGTGGTTTAAGAACTAAACTCCAGCTACAACTATGATCACAAGGCTCTTTTCTGTATACATTCACAAGTGCAGCGCTTCGCTGTAACTATAAATATAGCTATATGTACCATGAGATTACAGACAGGATCACCTGGACTCCTTTTACACTGCACTCTACTACTTCATTGCATTTCATAGTATGCTTTATGTATATTTTAAATTATATGACTTAATATAAAGACCCTATAAAGACCCAGGACTTACATTTAAACAACCACTGAAATCATTTACAACAGGAATAAATAGGAGAAAAATAAATTATGACATTAAACTCAAGAAAGTAAATCAATGAAAATTTTAAATGAAAGCATTCTCAAAAATGAATGACATCTGAAAGATAATAATAAATTTCTGATGAAATTGTCAGATTATATAGACAATTTTGATACCCATACTAGTTTTCATAATTATTACAGTAAGTTTTTCTTAGATTTATTTATTCATTTAATTCATTTATTTGGGTGTATGTGTGTATGTGCACATCACATATATCTAGGTGCCTATAGGGGCTAAAGGAAGGTATTTGATAACCTGGAGCTTGAGTGACAGGTGATTGTGAACCACCCAATATGGGTACAGGGAACCAAACTCAGGTCCTCTGGAAAAGCAGCATCCACTCTTAACTGCTGAGCCATTTCTCCAGCCCCAACAGTAAGACTTTTTAAATTAAAGAAACAAATTGGACTTAACAAAAGATCAAATAACACTATGTAAAACGAATTCTCCTTCAAGAGCCTATAAGTTTTTTCATACCAAATGCCACAAGTGTAGGTTACTAAAGTTCAGTGAAACCCAAGAAAACTAACACCCACCATAGAATAAAACAGGGCCTAGAGCAGCTGGCTTTAAAGTCAAAGCAAATGCTTGGGATACTGTTATGTGTCTAAGAGGTGGCAACAACGGAAGGAGGTCACAGAAAGAACATTTGTGAAACAGATCACACAACCTTAGCTGGCCCACAGGAGCCCCATTAACAGTCATTTATTTCTTTAAACAATTCTTCTTTTTGTTCCCCACCAAAGTGCTCGTTTTCCCATTATTTTGCAGATAACATTTCCTTCCCTTAGTGGAGCTTACCTTCCCTCTACCAGAGCAGAGCAGAGCGCATCCATTTAAGTAGTTCCCCAAATTAATCATCATCTACCTTTCATTATACTACAAATGGATGCACACCACTTACCTAGAAGGGGAAAAGCAACCTCTGTCCCCTCATCAGTGCGTTCTGAAAAGGATAAGTAAGGGAAGAAATCACAGGTCTTTCATCTATTTACTACTTGCTAGTCTAGGCTACTGGAGAGGCTAACATTCAGTTCCCCAGCATACCAGCCTCTGCACCAAATGGCTTTCTGCTAAGTGTCTGTGAAGTTGATAGTTTTCTGTTATCTTCACTGGATTTTCTTTCTGGGCAGTTTTAACCCATCAGTCCTAGTATCTCCTCAATAATGCTGAAGAACTCCCTTTTCTCTATGGTATCTGGAACCTTCAAATACCTGAAACTTGACATTCTCCTTTAATCACTGCTTATACAAACACATGCCAGGAGCTTGCCTCATAGATCTACTCTCCTCACCCCTAGATCATTCACATCCATCAGATCTCAAGCTAATGAAATATCCAAAACAGAAAGCAATATTCCAGGTGTGGCCTCACCTGAATGTAAGACAAAGAATTTCACTTCTCCATAGGTACCATCCCCAAAATCTCATAAGTATTCTGTTGCTGGACCGTAGTTAAATATCTAATTTGCTTTCAGCGTGTGTGTGTGTGTGTGTGTGTGTGTGTGTGTGTGTGTGTGTGTGTGTGTGTGTGTGAGAGAGAGAGAGAGAGAGAGAGAGAGAGAGAGAGAGAGATTGAAGGAGGGAGGCAGGCTGGGGTGGGAGAGAGAAACAGAGAGAGATTGAGATTAAGGTCAAGGAAACCCCAAAGATGATGTCAATCTGCTCTGAAAACCAACAGGAAAAGAGCTAAAATATAAAGATATGTTCTCCCCCCAAATGAGCATCCCATGAAATCCACCAAGGCAGCACTACCTTAATACTAAGTTTTAAGAGGACACCTACCAGTAGTGATGTATTCAGCAACTAGTTCTGACTCTACCACAGCAATGGATGGACTCTCAGGAGAATGTCTCTTTTCCTGGGTCATCTGAATAGGTACTGCCATTTGACTCAAGTCAATAGTGGGTTGTCTTGGTTTAGATTCCAATTTTTCCTTTACTGCATAAAAAAGTCGGGGAAAAGTTAACTTTTATTATAAACAAATACTAAAACCAGAGTTGTCTATGGGAATAATGAACCAGACCTCTGGGATGCCACATTGGCAGTGACTAAAAAGACAATGAACTGAAAACTGCATACTGCTCAGTATGGTTGTATAGCCTACAACCTGCATAACCATACCCAGAAGCCTATAATAATTCATATTTAATCATACTCAGGTTCCCCTAATACTACACTACAGACAGCCAGTCATTTTTCTTTATATACCCCTCCTAGGATATTATTTCCTTTGTACTCAAATTGCTGGTATCCTCAGTTCACAACAGCATGATCTGCTCTAGGGTATATCCCAAAATAGCACTTCCCATTGATTAGTTCATTTGACCTACTAAAAATCCAAGGGCCTGGGAATGTTACCCAGAGGTTGATGCTTGTCCAGCATACACATGGTTGTGAGTTTGATCCCCAGCACAAGGGGAAAATTCATACAGCCTTTACTGAGGGAGGAGGATTGTTGAGTTTAATGCTGACCTGGGCTATATCCAGGCCAGTCTGAGCTATAGAGCAAAGACCCTTTCCATGTATGTGTGTGTGTGTGTGTGTGTGTGTGTGTGTGTGTGTGTGTGTGTAATTTAAGATATGACCACAAAAAAAATGTTACAAGTCTTTAATGACTCTTAAAGAATAAAACTTAAAGGTTTTCACTGTTAGGAAAAAAAAGTAGGTGCTCTGCTCTGTATGTCTAAAATGTCTGATAAAACAGCCTGTAATTAATAGTGGCATATGTATAGATGCATTTTTTTTAACTTCTTACCACTTCCTCAACAAAATCTCTTCACTCAACATTCCAATCTATATAAATGATTGATGGAAATGGTTGAATTTGTCAAAGACAAGCAGCTGAAAAAAGTGCCCAAGGCTAAAAATAATATAAGTAGATTTATAATTTACATCAAATGTAAGTATAAAGTATAGCATGGAATTTACAATAAATAGTATTCAGTAACTAAGTCCACTAAAAGACTGCTCCCACCAAGTACAGAATGTGACAAAGCAGAACAATCATTTTAAACAAAGAAGCCAAACCCCGCTGTGATCCTACAAGCAAAGATGGCCCTGGCCACCATCCTGTCACTGACCAAGTAGGTAACCTTTCTCAATCTCAGCTAGCTTCTCTAAAACATGAAAGGGTTAGATGAGATCATCACTACAACCCCTAAAATAGTCCCTAACTGTTGATCTATTATAGCAGAAAACTCAGTATAACTTCCATAAGGTTGTCCTAGAAGCTATGAAAGATATTTAGTAACTACAAACACTGATAGAAATTTATACACAGATGCTCTAGTGGATAACCTACACAAAAATAAATAAATAAATAAATATGAAAGTAAGGTGAGAACAAATGAGAATGAGAATTTTTTTTTTTTAAATTTTTTTTGGTTTCTCTGTGTAGCTTTGGAGCCTTTCCTGGAACTCACTCTGTAGCCCAGGCTGGCCTCAAACTCACAGAGATCTGCCTGCCTCTGCCTCCCAAGTGCTGGGATTAAAGGCGTGCGCCACCACTGCCTGGCCTACAAATGCGAATGTTTACAAGCAAATCTTATTCCATTTCATTGTGCAAAATTACTCTGATAGTATCAATGAGGACAGCAGGGACCCTTCCATCTGTACTTACAAGTAACAAGCCCACTCTCTTCTGCTGGCAAGAGGATTGTCCATTTTAAATAGAAGTCAGCCCTGTCTACTCGATCTGTCTTCAAATGACAACTCTCCATCTATGCTTCATACTCCTATATACATCTTAAAGAACAATAAACTGTACCAATAATTATAGACAAGTCCAGAGGGGGAGAACTGTACAAAAACTATGCAACAGTGGTGTAGTTTAGCACAACCCGTCTCTAGAGAAAACATGCTTCATTCAGTTGAGCATGTGAATTCATACCTGTTGTCTGTTGGAGTTCTAACAGAGCTTTGATTGTTGATGTAGCTGATTGTGATTCACTGGATACATCCTGATATATTATGGTGGGGCTAGTCTCCATTGCAATCTCATGTTCTGACCAATCCTGACGCCGGGAAGCAATTACATGAACTACAGGCTGGGAATCTGTTTTATATTAGTTAAAAAAAAACAAACCCTATAAACAAAGTTTCTCTTAAAATAAAGCAAATTTTTGTTTATCTTTGTATTTAATGTAAACGTCAAACTTGACTTTTCTAAGAAGACCGTAAGCTACCAGAAGGCATACTGTCTCTCACTTCTGAATTCATTTATTCACTCATCACTTATTTTACACTAGACACCTGTGTATCAGAATCCACATTTAATGGACTTGAAGAAACTCACAGAATAATCCAAGAATGCTCAAAAAGCACACAGTTCATTTGAAGAGACAAACAAGTAAAAAGACAAAGTACAATTCAATATGCTAACTGCTGTCTACACAGGTTTGCATCTATTTAAGTGAATGCTTGTTTGTGTTTACTAAAAACAAAATGTTCTAGGAGACTGATTTTCCCCTAATGCACATGAAAAGGTTTCTATAAACAGCCTGAGTACTTGGGAATATTTGGCTGAATTATTGACAGTAAGAAAAGAGAGACAATCTAGAAACATCATGATGCAACACAAATGTAACAGAGGTGAAAGCTTCAACCTTGTCAGTTACTAGCAAGTTGATTCTTCGGGTCTTAGCTCTACTGTTTAATAAGAACAAGATCTGTGGGTATAACGCATTGATAGTCTGTGCTGCTTAATGATAGGAATACATTCTGAGAAATACTTTAGGCAATGCTGTCATTGTGACAGCATACTTACATACTTAGAAGAATTAGCTTGCTATATCTATATACATGCACGCCCTATACAGCGCACCCTATAACTGTCATCACATATTTATAGTCTACTGCAGAGTAAAAGAAATATTATAAGGTGCATGATGATATATAAATAATCTATAAACTATCAAGGTCAGTAGAAATGTGGTGTTGTGGGGAGGGTAACTGAAAACTCAGTTCTAAGGCTTTAAGTTGGTTTGAAAATAAATTCCAGCACTAATATAAAGGTTTTTTGTTTTGTTTTGTTTTGTTTTTATGTTCAAGCTGTAAAGGCACACATGTAAATACAAAATGTGTGTTGGATTAAGCAACACATACTTAAGAGTTCTCTATAAAACAAACAGGTTGGAGCACTTTGTCTAAGACACTGCATAAGAAACTAGAAAGGATACAAAGATATGTTCCCTAATACTCAGATCTAGATATTGTTATGGGAGCAATAAAAATTGATAGATAGCTTCACATTTTCGAGTAAACATCAAATGATTAAAACAAGGAAAGAGACTGCTTTTCATTGTTAAACCATCAGAAAGGTCTTCAAAGGTGCCTCAAAAATACAAGAAAAAAGCATGGAGATTCACCCTCTACAAACATTACATTTTTGAAAGTCAGGAGGCTGTCCAAAAATATTGGAGCAAGGGAACAATTCTTCTAATGAAACAATTTTCCTGAATAAAATAGTATGCAAGAGGTTTAGAATGTTTAATCACCATTAAACAGGTCATGTGTGGTCACACAGGCCTGTAAGCCCAGAATATGGGAGGTGAAATAAGAGGAACAGGAGTCTGAGATCAGACAGGACTATATGAGACCCTGTCTTTAAAAAACAAAACAAGCCGGGCGGTGGTGGCGCACGCCTTTAATCCCAGCACTTGGGAGGCAGAGGCAGGCGGATCTTTGTGAGTTCGAGGCCAGCCTGGTCTACAGAGCGAGATCCAGGAAAGGTGCAAAGCTACACAGAGAAACCCTGTCTCGAAAAACCAAAAAAATAAAAAATAAAAATAAAAATAAAAATAAAAATAAAAAACAAAACAGACTACCCCCAAAGCAAAAATAAACAAACAAAAACTCCTAAGTTGAAAACAACACACCAAAGACATACAACTTCTATTAAGCTTCTAATCACATGTGAAAGACCAGCTGTTAGCCTATAATGCCAAAGGCCATGTGAAGAATACTGCAATTTTTCTTCATATATTCTAAGAAGATATGTAAGAAATTTTGTTTGTTTAGAGACAGGCTCTCATGCAGCCAAAATGACCTTGACCTCGTTAACCTCCTGCTTCCACCTCCCAAGTGCTGTGATTGGCATACGTATACCACCTTGCTGTTAATATAGTGCTGAGGATCAAACCCAGGCCTTCATACATACCACACAAGTACTTTTTTAACTGAGATATATCCCTAGTGTCCCAATATGAAAAATTTTAACTTGAGAACTGATTATACTAGGGAAACATTATTTTATATAATTTAAGCTCTTAAAAACAAGAATGAGGGCTGGAGAGATGGCTCAGAGGTTAAGAGCACTGACTGTTCTTCCAGAGGTCCTGAGTTCAATTCCCAGCAACCACATGGTGGCTCACAAACATCTGTAATGAGATTTGGTGCCCTCTTCTGGCCTGCAGTCATACATGCTGTATACATAATAAATAAATAAATCTTTAAAAAAAAAAAAAAACAAGAATGATGAGCACAAGTTTATGTTGTGGAACAATCTTTTTGTATACCGTGAAAATGTGTTGCTCTCATTGGTTGAATAAAGAGCTAAATGGCTAATAGCTACGAAGAGGTTAGGTGGGAACTCTGGGTACAGAGAGAACTCTGGGAAGAAGGGCAGAGTTACCAGTGAGACGAAGAGGGAATAAGACATACAATAGAACAGGTAAATGCCATGAGTTATGTGGCAACATGTAAATTGATAAATATAGGTTAATTTAAGTTGTAAGAGCTAGTTAGTAACAGGCCTAAGCTATTGGCCGAGCTTTTATAATTAATAAGAAGTTTCCATGTAGTTGTTTGGGAGCTGGCAGGTGGGACAGAAAATTCAGCCTACAAATAGCACCCAACATGGGTCCACACACAGTCTGAGAAAGTTTTTAAAAAAATGTTTGAAACACAGTATAAAACGCGGCTTCCTGGCAACCAAGCTCTCTTGGGTAGGCTCAGTGCTAGTGATAAACAGAGGCATGACTCTTTTTAGAGGCCCTGCTACTGAGCACTTGTATGGGGCTTATGAGAAGCAGGCAGTATGCATCCTGTATGGTATTGTACTGACTTTAAGTTTTTTGATTACAGATGAATGAGTGATAGCTGCTGAGAGACACTGGATTATCAAGGCTGCTGGATTAAACCAACCTATATATTTTAAAAGAGTCTTGACTCCAAAATGGAAGTCAAAAGATATGTTGCTTTGGGGAAGAGGTTATACTTTTATTTCCACAGAAAACAAAAGGCTGTGGATCCATTCAAGATTGAAGATCAGGTTTGATTGAGGAAGATCCTCTGAAAATCCTGGCTACAGACATAAAAAAATAAACCTAAAAGAACTACAGAACAGGTGATGTATATTTTACCTACTCAAATATAAAACAAACAAAAATCTTTGGCTGACTTGTGTACAATGCACAGTCTATACTTATATTAATACAAATATGTATGTTACCTTTAAAAGTTTATGTATTTTCAGAGTAAGGGAACCAGACACCAATAAAAATGAATGGTCTAAGTGATGCAACATCTCAGAGTGCCTCTGTTGCAGTTTCCTCAAGAGGTCTGCATCCAGAACAGCTTCAAGGCTGCTGGAGACGGTCCAGCCTCACAGACTACTATAGCCAGGACTTAACCATTATCCTGATTTCTCAGGGTCCCCCAAAGATGTGAGCACCTCTAGACAACAGGAAGCAGTCTAGAGAAAGTAACATCTACATTCCCAAGAGATGGGTTATGGATGTCTGTCATCATTTAGGGGATGTTGGTTACAAGTTGTTATTGGTCATGGTCAGAAAAAAAACCTAAACAAAAGAGTTAAGATTCAAGGATCTCTTTCTGAAGGAAAAAAGAGAGATATAATATAGAAATGAGATAGAAGGCTTGATTATTGAATATTCTTTAATCAAAAGAGCAACTATTAATCTCAAAATATTTTACACTGGTATGGATTTTGGTTTATTGATACAAATGTAAAGTTATTTTTATTATACTATATGTATTTCCTGCTTTTATTTGGGGTATTGTGCTTATGCAGCTCCCTTAAAAATGTATTGTATAATTAAGAGATACAGGTTAGTAGTTAGTCATCTATAATAATCAAACTTGTAGTTATATTAGGTATGTTTTCAAGGTTAAACAGATATATGTAGATAGATAGATGGTCTTCCAACACTTCAGATACCTACAGAATATGGCATTTAAGATGTTTAGTAACCTGAGGCTTTTCATGACAGTGAGACATGTCTGCTCCTCACAGCACCAATCTACTTCAGAGAAGATTATGAGCATCGAAGAACCTCCATATGGAGTTTGGCAAACTTTCTTTGTGGCAAAAGCTAGCCATTTGGGCAAGAAACTGCCCTTGCTTAAACTGCTGACAGTATGCTGTCCAAATTGGAAAAATAGAATACAAAAGAAAGCGACTGCTGAACTTTATCAAGACAAGGTAGGATAGTCCTTCAAAATTTCCTGCTTCTCAGAAAAGTCTGTCAAATTCTAGGCTTGTAAGTTGAAGATGGATGCTCCAACATTGCAGAAGAAATTTGGGCGATTGTCCAGGCAGCCAGATGTCCATGTCATTAGGTAAAATTATTTCCTTCTGGGGTCTTTGATGGAGTTAAAGACTAAATAGTTAAACCTATAGTTTTCCTTAGTTATGATAAAAAGTAAATTAGGTATAAAACTTTAGACTCACAAAGATACGATATATAATACAGTATTTTCTCTAAATCTGCCAAATACAAATGGACTGGATATTGTAACTGTAATTCTTACTTGATAACTGGTTTTGTTGTATATAGTTTTACTATGTTAAAGTTAAAACCTTCCTTTTCATAATCAGACAAAAAGGGGTAAATGTTGTGGAACAATCTTTTTGTACACTGAAAATGTGTTGTTCTCATTGGTTAATATAGAGCTAAATGACCAATAGCTAGGCAGGAAGAGGTACAGGCAGGAGAGCCAGACAGAGAGAACTCTGGGAAGAAGAAGGGTGAGGTCACCAGTGAGACAGAGAGGGAGCAACATATAGAAGAGGACAGATAAATACCACAAGTT